ATACCTGATGCCTGATGCCTGATGTCTGCCTGATGCCTGATGTCTGCCTGATGCCTGATGCCTGCCTGATGCCTGGCTCCAGGGGATTCAATGTACGCAGGATTCACATACCCATATCCACATGCAGACAGACACACACTGACACATAATTAAAAGTAATAAAAACAAGTATTATAAAAGAAAGTAATTCAAGGGATGGAGAGATGGCTCAGTGGTTAAGAGCACTGACTGCTCTTCCAGAGGACCTGAGTTCAATTCCCAGAAACCACATGGTGGCTCACAACCATCTGTAATGAGATCTGAAGCCCTCTTCTGGTGTGTCTGAAGAGAGCACTGGTGTACTTATATACATTAAATAAATAAATAAATAAATAAATAAATAAATAAATAAATCATTTTTAAAAAAAGAAAGTAATTCAATGATGAAGTAGAAAGATTAGATCTCAAAAGCCAATACCATTTATAGGATGTGAGGGAAGCTCCTGTCTCAGTGCTGGATGGAGTGATGGCGGTTCCTCTTTCTTGTCTTGAACTTTCAAACCGTCATCCTTGGACATCTTGAGCCCAGAGAACTTCCACTCAGTGTAACGCATCTGCTTCAGAGTAAGAGCAATAACACTATGTGAGTGGTAGGACCTTACATTTCTTTAATGCTAGCCTTTGTGAACTTTAAAAAGTCAGTCCCTGGGGCTGGTGAGATGGCTCAGTGGTTAAGAGCACTGACTGCACTTCCAGAGGTCACGAGTTCAAATCCCAGCAACCACATGGTGGCTAACAACCATCTATAATGAGATCTGATGTCCTCTTGTGGGGTGTCTGAAGACAGCTACAGTGTACTTACATTTAATAAATAAAAATTAAAAAAAAAGTCAGTCCCTTTTAAACAAATGCATAGCATATGTATTATTCATATTCCAAGCTTAAGTGTGCATAATATTAATGTGCTGGTTACACTGATATGACAATGGGGCTTTAAAAATGCATGTGGAAGCATCTGGGGGCACTGTGGCCTTCCTGCCTTCACTGCTCCTCCCCTCTGACGGCCACAGATGTTGACTCTCCAGGGTCTCTGGGGTCCCACCTGCTGTGTGTTTCCATTCAAGATGTTACAGCTCAGATATTCCATTCTGTTCTTGCCTTGGACACCTGGTTTTTTGCTGTGTTTTCTTCGTGAGTAGCTTGCGACCTGATGCTCTTTTTCCTTCTTTTCTGCTATTACAGGAGATTTTCTCTTCTCCTGATACTGGCCAGCCTCTATGGGAATCTCTGTAGATGCTCTCTGGTCCTGAACAGATGAATCAGAGACAGAGAGCCTTAAACAATGACAGCTCAACCTCTAGTTTTCCTTCCCTCCTGCTCCTGCTCCTCTACACGGTAGAGCCTGAAGTTCTGCTCCATTAGGAGCTTCTAGATTATCTCTGATTACACATGCTACTCGTGGAAGGAATTTCCTTTATTCCATCCCTGAGACTATCCCCTCCAATTGGCTTCATAGACTATGTAGAGGCCCCCTATCCTGGGAGTTCTGGAGAGTTACCTGGGGAAAAAAAGGGGCCCATTCTTCCACGAATGAGGCCTCCAAGCCATCTTTGTTCTCCTTCTCTTCCTCCTCCTCTTCCTCCTCCACTTCCTCCCTCTCTTCCTTCTTTTCCTCATTCTCCTCCTTCTCTTCCTCCTTCTCTTTCTCCTTTTCTTCATTCTCTTCTATCTCTTCCTCCTCCTCTTCCTCCTTTTCCTCTTCCTTCTCCTCCACCTCTTCCTCCTCCTCTTCCTCTTCTTCCTCTTCTTCATCATCCTCTTCCTCCTCCTTCACTTCCTCCTCTTCTTCCTCCTCCTTCACCTCTTCCTCTTCTTCCTCCTCCTTCACCTCTTCCTCTTCTTCCTCCTCCTTCTCTTCCTCCTCCTGCTTCTCAGCTTCTGGCATCTGGAAGCTCTCTGGGGGCAGGTAGTGAGACTTCCAGTCTAGTTGCACTTTGATGGATCCATTGGATTTCTCCCCCGAGTCTGTTAGATTGAAATCACCTGAGAGACAGAAAAACTGGTTAAACTCGGTCTCATGACATAGGCTACTGAGTATTTATAAGCATCTTTTCTATTTCTCTCCATTTAGAAATCCATTGCATTTGTTAGTAATTTATTAAAATACATCAAAATTCATAATTTATAGAAAAATTAAACCAGTATAGTGGGATTCATAGGGGAAGACAAGTATTTCTGCTTCAGATGATCAAAAGGTGTAACCATGATGAAATCATCTTCACTGTCACTAAATAATATGCTATGGCTGTCCCCAGAAAACCATCACCTATGTAAGTGGTACCAAGAAAAACAGCACAGTGACTTTTTCCTGAATGTCAGGCTTCTGGCTTGTAGTTCTAATTAGCAGGTGGCTTGCCTCTCCTCTCAAGCAGAAGTGTCAAATATTGTTTTTTAAATAACTGTGATACTGGCCAGAGAGAGGCCTTGGCTACTTCCAAGGAAGCTCAGAATCTTATTAAATATGGCTGACACGGCCTATTCTGGCTATACTGCCTAATCAAAGTTTGGGAATCACTGCCTCCCTCTCTCCAGGCAGAAGCCAGACTAAGCCTCTGCTCAGTGACCCCACAACCATGAGTAAGTAAAGAGGGAAGGTAGAATAGAGCATGGCTCCAGACGGCTGGAGTCTGCCCTCGTCGCCGCTGCCACTGTCATCTCTGATGTTTTAAAAGCAGTGAGATTATGAGGAAGTGTTATGTTCTGCTCAGGTCTCTGCTCATGAACCAAGAAACAACAGTCTTTAAACAAAAACAAGTCCTGGAAAGCATGGAAGGAGTCTTTTTGTTCTGTTTTCGTTGTTGCTTTTTCGTGAGACAAGGTTGTATGATACAGCCCCAGGCAGCCTGGAACACACTATGTAGACCAGGCTGCCTTCTGCCTCCCAAGTGTTGGGATTAAAGGCACAAGACACTACACCTACTCCAAGTCTAAAGTAAGGTTTTCAGAGACTGAGGTATGGAATTCCAGAATTCAGTTGGAACTCCTTGGGAATCTCGACTATGCAGCTGCAACAGAGCTGAATCCTGTTTTCCCACCAGCAAAGCAGCTATAAACCTTCTGTTCTGTTGCTCTTGACAATATCCCGAAGTCTTTTCAGACTTCAAGAGAGACTTTCGTGGCTGACATGTTTCAGCAGTAATAGGTACTTACCGTGCAAGTCTAGGAACCTGAACTCAATCTGAATTTTCCAGAACCCACTTCACAGTGGGAGGAAACAGCTGATGCTACAAAGCTCACCTCTGATCTCCACATGCATGTGCTGGCATGTTCACTCACAGACTCACAACATGAATCTACGTACATAGTCAATGCTTAATAATATTTTTAAATGAAGGAATGACTGTTCCAAGCAAGTAAGCAAAGAAAAGTTGGTAAGAACAGAGAGATGATGCTGGGAAGAGGGCCGGGAGGTGCAGCGCCCACCTTTGATAGATTTGTTTTGTGCAAGAGGCAGCAAGGGCACCTGGGCTCGGCCAAGGTAGGAGCCAGGCTCTGGGTCTTCATCATCGAAAACATATATAGACAGAGCTTCCAGCCTCAGATACTGGTCCAGGTCAGAGGTCACAAGCATGGGGAACAGAGCCTGGTCTTTAAAGTATGGATTGCTGCTGGCTGGAATGACGGTGGTGTCATGGTCAGGAAAGGTGAAGAAGCGGTACATGACATATGGACTGGGCTGCCTTCCCAGCCATCGACTCCGGAGGCCGCAGCACCTGGTGATTTCAATCCGCAGCTCATTCCGAGGTGTCCAGGTTTCAGGTCTGGACTGGAAAGATGATGATCTTGGTCTAAGATAAAGGGCAGCCTGAGGCATTGTTGTAAGTGGAGCCCACATAGGCGAGAGGGACTGTGACCTAGAAACCTACTCTGCCAGGTCGTGACAATGCCTAACAATCATCTAGATGCCTGCCCCCGGCTCTGGTAGCTGTTGGAGGGAGATGTTCATCCCCAGGCTTATCCTAAAGAATGATAGAGAATGGAGCTAGCTTTGACCACGGTTCCCACATGGTAGAAGAAGAGAAACAACTCCTGTGCATTCTCTGACCTCCACATGCATACCATGGCATGTACCAACACAATAAATAAATAAATCTGTGTTAAATTTTTTCATCTTAAGCCGGGCGGTGGTGGCGCACGTCTTTAATCCCATCACTTGGGAGGCAGAGGCAGGCGGATTTCTGAGTTCGAGGCCAGCCTGGTCTACCGAGTGAGTTCCAGGACAGCCAGGACTACACAGAGAAACCCTGTCTTGAAAAACACAAAAAAAAATTATTCATCTTAATTGAAGATTAGATTTTTTTTAAAGACTTATTTATTTAGTATATATTCAGCAGTCTGCCCGCATGTATATCTGCCGGCCAGAAGAGGGCACCAGATCTCATTATAGGTGGTTGTGAGCCACCATGTGGTTGTTAAGAATTGAACTCAGGACCTCCGGAAGAGCAGCCATCGAGTGCCCTTAACCTCTGAGCCATCTCTCCAGTACTAGATTTTGTTTTGTAAAGAGCCAGTGAAACTGTAGCATTGGAGATATCTGAACCAACACTTGAGGGGGAAAAAAAAAGATGAGCAAAATGGAAAGAACTCAGCAGGTGTTCCCAGTGGAACAGTGTCATGAGCTCTGATGGTTTGAATACTCACTCGAATGAGGCTATGGTTAGAATGAAAAGAATATGTGAAAGTAATGGTCCCAAATTTCCGACTTTGGTGAAAATGGACATACAAGTACAGGAAGCACAGCAGGAGGGAGCTGCCAGGCCAGACAGCTAAAAGCAGAATGACAAGTGGCCTTGACTAGCGAGGGTGAAGTGGAGCTTGGGCTGTTGGAATGGAATCTGAGTTTCCCTATTGGGGAATTGCAATAGACCTGCCCAACTCCAGTATCTGAAGGCATAGCCTCCCACAAATCACCTGCGCGTCAGTGCCAATCACTGATTGTAATAAAAACTTAAATTAAAAAAAAGAGAGAGAAAAAGAGAATTGGGAAAAAGCTGTTTGTTCACAACAAAGACAAGTGTCTAACCCAGGGGATGATTTCATTTCTTCTGCAGTTTAAGCACAGGCAGAATCTGGACTGGCATTGCTATTGCAGTTTCTCACATTCAAGGGGGACTCATAGGGAGTGGGAGAGCAAGCCCCTTCTGAGGGCTACCTGGCTGAAGTCCTTCTGAGCCGCAGTTGTACTTTCTCTCACCTCATTGTTCTGGGCCTTCCGAGCTCCAAGCACATTGACTGACAGGTAGGCCTGGGCTTTCTTTCGCTTATTGCATGCCTGGAGGCTGGATTTTAGGGGCAAGCACAGCCTCATCCAGTACTCTAACACCCCCAAATCTTCTCCACCAGCTCCTGAATAGCAAAAGGCATGAAAGGCATAGAAAATAGAGTGTGGTGAAAGTCAAGAACAGAACAGAGGAAGCCTGGGTGGTGAAATCCCCGAAATCCTAGCACTTGAGAGGCTGAAGAAGGAAGGTGGCCATGAGTCCAGGGCCAGCCAGGAGGACAGGATGGGAAAAGGGAGTCACCAGAAAGCAGCTCCAGGCTTTGGCTGTTTCTTTATTTTCCAAAGCTTCTAGTCCTAAGAACCACAAGAAGCCAAAAGCACTTACCAGTAAGTGTGGCCAAGCCATGGACTCTCTCCACGGTCTCTAGCACCTTGTCAAATGAGATCCACCCTGTAGCAAGGACGTGGTGCTCACCAGCCATGGCCTGATGGAGATCAAGCCGGACTGAAGTTCCTTGAAGGTAGTGCAGGAAGAGGTAGTCTGTCTGCACTACATACTGGGAGGTGAAGTCATAGAGGGGCTGTGGCCCAGTACAGAGTGGGGTGCAGTGAGTTTCAAAATCATAGAAGGGGTAAGTGCAGAAGGTGGTAGGTTGGGTATCTCCAGCCTGTACAAGGGCAGCAGGGGTCAGGAAGGCCTGGTGGATGTGCAGCTCAAAAAGATTCTCGCTTGGATGCAGCAGAGACATGTCCACTTCTTCCTCACCTCTGTGGGCTGCCAGGGACTCCAGACACAGTGAGGGTTGCCGAGTGCCATAAGCAACGTCTTTGAGCTGCTCTACAGGGGGAAAGAACACTGCCTATCCATTAAAAGGTCGAGAGCTATCCTAAGGGGGAAGAGGATAAATGGAAAGAAAATACATTGTGGAATTCCAAGCTAAGGTTGTTTCAAGAAGCCACATGATTCAAGAAGGAAAGCAGCACAATGCCAACCAGAAGTGTTGAATTGTGAATCCCAAATGACTGCTGCCTGTACCACGGGAAGGCCCAAGTGAGGGGTGAAGTGAGCACCACAGGAGATGCGTGGCATTGCACTAATGACACTGAGCCCCACACTCAGGAGATGCCATCGTACAAATGACACTGAAGCAGACCAAGGTCCTGAGAATTTAAGGTACTGTAACAGAAAGGCACTAGAAACATAAAACATGTCCCAAAAGATGGTTATGTTTTCCTCGGAGAGAGTGGGAAGTTGCAGACGCTGTTTATCGTGTTATCCCTGCCACCGGGAAAGGCTGCCTGGAGCAGGCCAGCTCAGTTACAAGAGGGCTCCTTATGTGCTATTCAGACATTGGCTTTATTCGAAGAGGTGAAGAAATCTACTTTGAATCGAATGATAATGACTTAAAAGGTAAGAAAGAAAACTCGAGAGGAAAGAGGTTGAAAGTGCTCTCCCTGGGATGCAAGACACAGAGACAGAACCAAATCTGCATTGTTCTTAAGACCCACCAGATTCTCAGATGTAGGCTGCTTCACACTGGGAACACTTGAGTCCTTATAGCATGTTGTTGGTGACTAACCTCCTTTAAGAGCTAACTCAGTTGAATAAAAATGTTCTTGATAGATCAGAATGCATTTATTTAATTATTTAATCTGGAGAAATGACTCTGTGGCTAAGACCATGCACTGCTCTCCCAGAGGACCTGCATTTGATTCCCAGCACCCATTTCAGGTGGTTCACGACTGCCTGTAATTCCCACTCCAGGGATTCAACACCACCTTCTGCATTCTGTAGGCACCTGCATACATGTGCATATATCTCTACACAGATATACATGCATAGACTTAAATAAAACTAAAAATAAATACTTTTTCAGAATGTTTAAGATTTATTTTTATTTTATGTGTAAGGACGCTTTACCTGGATATATTATGCATAAAGCACCCACAAGGACAGAAGGAGCACGCTTGGACCATCTGGAACTGGAGTTGCTAACAGTTGTTATCCTTCATGTGAACTCTGGGAACTGAAACCAGGCACTCTGCAAGAGCAACAACTGCTCTTAATCCTGAGCCATCTCACTAGCGCCCCACAATGTCTTCATGCTTAAGTGGCAAGGGAGAGGAGAGGCTGTCAGGATGGCATAGTAGATAAGTGTGCTTGCTGCTAAGGACCTGAGGTTGGTTCTGTAGAGCCTCCATGATGGGAGAAAGAGCCAGTTCCTGTAGGTTGCCCTCTATCCTTCACAAGCGTGCCCCTTCTGTCTGTCTCTGTCTGTCTGTCTGTCTGCCTCTCCCCCCCCCCTTACACACACAGAAAGAGAGAGAGAGACACACACACACACAGAGAGAGAGAGAGAGAGAGAGAGAGAGAGAGAGAAGAGAGAAAATAATTTTTTTTTAATGGTAGTGAATATCTGTACTCTCAGTACTCAGGAAACAGGCAGGAGAGTTGCAATTTTGAGGCCAGCCTGGATTGCATAGGAAGAGAGCTCAGAAAATGGTGGCTGGGGGTTGGAGATGGCAACAGGAGTGGGGGGAGGCTCAGTGGTTCACACCTGTAACCTCAACACTTGGGAGGCTGAAGCAAGTCAACCTCTGTGAGTTCAAGGCTATCATGATTTACACAGTAAGTTCTAGGACAGCCAGAGGAAAAAAATAATACAAAAAAAATGTAACACAGAAACTGACTAATTGATTGATATTTTCCTTTTTTGTTGTTTTGTTTTGTGTTTGTTTTAGACAGGGTCTCATTGTGTTGCCCAGACTGACAAACCTGCTATATAGACCAGGCTGGCATTGAACTCTGCCTGCTTCTGCCTCCAAGTTCTGGAGATTAAAGAAAAGTGACATCTACCCAGAAAATTGATGTTTTCTTCAGTTATAAGGTTTGATATAGCCAAGCAGTGGTAGTACAAGTCTTTGATCCCATCACTCCAGAGGCAGATGCAGGCAGATCTCTGTGAGTTCAAGGCCAGCCTGGTCTACAGATCAAGTTCCAGGACAGCCAGGGCTATACAGAGAAAAACCTAAAATAAACAAACAAACGAACAAACAAATGATATGACAATACGATATGTTTAAATTGACCTTACATGACACAAAGCTAATAGCCTTATATATAAGGAAGTACAAATCAGAGATATATTAAATCATGGGGGAAAGGTAGAAGTAGGGATGGGCAATTCTCAAAAGAAATAATTCGGGCTGGAGAGATGGCTCAGCAGTTAAGGAGCACTGGCTGCTCTTCCAGAGGTCCTCAGTTCAATTCTAGCAACTACATGGTGGCTCACAACCTGTAATGAAGTCTGATGCCCTCCTTCTGCAGGCATACATAGAAATGGCCACGAGGATTCAGTCCGAGGGAGGACTGTTTATTTGGCAGCAGCCTTACCAGACTCACCGTGGTGTGGTAAGTCCCCCATACCTCCCTGTACTCTAGGGCTGTGCTCACTAGGAACCTGCTCATTACTGACTCTCTTACCAGGACGTAGAGCCGCTTCACAGCAGCTCCATGGATGCTGATGTGAGTGCCTTGCCTTCTGCTTTAAATATCGGACTGTGGTGAGTTTGGTTAGGGTAAGTCATCTCCCGAGTGCATATCGGTAAAGCCTACTCCTTAAACTCAAGCTTGAGAGTAGCCCCTGTTCTGAAGTGACCATACTGAACAGGAAGAACCTGACTAGGAAACACATTGGCAACACCCTCCTTCCTCTGCTTCCATCCTTAAATTGCAACAAAGATTTTAGAGAGAAACCTCAGGAAAAGATGAGAGGAAATGAATGACAAGGGTGTTATTATCTGGCAAGACCTGCTCTAGGCTGATAGGCATGGGTTCAAGAAATGACAGAGGAAAGGAGAGATTCACCAACCTTGGGGTCAGTTAGCCTCATTGACATTGACACTCTTCCAACCACCTGGAAGCACTGCTGGCCCTGTAGAAACTCTCCAGGAAAATCAAAGATTTGCACTGAGCAGAAGACGAAAGGAAGTTACAGATCAGTCATGAGAGGAGAAAAGATAAGAGCAGGAGGAATAAAGTCAGGAGGATCGGATTGGATTGCTGTTAGTCATGTGACATAGCCCAAGATGGAAACAAAAGTACTAAGACTTGCCGGATGTTGGAAGGCCGTGGCTTCTTAAAATACCTTCCAGCTGCTTTATGCGGCTGTTCTTGAAGTCTAGGAGGTGATTCAGCCTCTCCAGTTTCTCTTCATGGTCCCTATTTTCTTTGTCAGCTTTTGTCAACGTTGCCTCCAGCTCCTCCTGAAACAAAATAAGAGCTGAATTTTCCCCTCCCTGTCTCAGAACCAAAGAGCCCTGACTTTAAAAACTGGACCTTGCTGGAGAAGGAGATTGATTGCCATCTCTTCAGGAGGGAAGGTTTGACCCAGGAAGCAAGCTTAGGTTTTCTAAGAACCTTCATGCCCACCTGCATTTGTGACACCTGGGGTGATTTTGTCCCTAGGACTTTGGGTGGAAATGAACCCAGAAGTTTAGCACTTGCCATTTCATGAGCTCCTCCTTAGGTGACTTCTGGGACCAGGTGCCTGGGCATGTGTGAGTGAGATCTGAGGTGCCTCCCTAGGAAGCACCTTGCTACCCACCAGCCCTGGAAACCCAAGGCATGCTTGCTTCCCAGTGTGATTCTCATATGCCCAGATTCCTGTCCCATTCCTTGCACCTGATAGCACATGTTGATTTTGCGCTGCAGAAGAAGCATGTCTCTGGTTTTTTCTAGTTCCAGTGAGGTCTCTGCATGGGACACTTGCAGCTCACTTAGCACCTGGGACAGGTTATTCTTGTCTTGAGCTTTTGGTTTACTGGACTAGAGAGTGAAAACATTGGTAAAAGCAGTTGGTGAGATTGTAAGACACCAGCAACAACATTTTCTCCAGAATATACAAGATTCGTGTCACCTCACAAGGGCTCTCTACCCTCACCTCCCAACCCCCAGTCAGTGTGTCACTGCAGAGTGGTGACAGTTTTCAAGTGGCAGTTTGGAGGCTAGCAGGATGGCTCAGGCTTGAGCTGAGCAAGCTTTCAGTCTCTGAAACCCACACATAAGTGTTAGGAGAAAACCAACTCTGCAAAGATGTCCTCTGACCCCCACAAATGTACCACGTGGGGGACATGTGCCCACACAAACTTGTTATAGACACCCACAAAATTGTAATGAATAAAAGCAAAATGGCAGTTTGCCTTTCAGGAGATTATCCCAAGTTCACACCTAAAGACTCTAGGGACAAGAGAGATGGCTCAGTGGTTAGGAGCACTGGCTGCTTTTTCGGGAAACCCAGATTCAATTCCCAAAGCCCGAGTGGCAGCTCATGATTGTCTAGAACTCTAGTTTCAGGGGATTCAGTGCCCTCTTCTGGCCTCCATGGGCACTGCACACACACACAACACATACATACATGCAAGCAAAGCACTCATATCCATAAACAATAAATAATAAATCTTTAAAAACTAAACAAAGAGACCAGAAAGATGGTCAGTGATTAAGAGCACTTACTGCTCTTGGAGGGCCCAGGCTTGGTTCCCAGCACCCACATGGTAGTTCGCAACCATCCATAACTCCAGTCCTAGAGAATCTAATGTCCTTTTATGGCTGCCATGGGCTCCAGGTACAGACATAATGTGCAGACACAAGACTCACATAGTAAATTAAAAAAATACATCTTTTTAAAAAGCATTTTCTATAACTACAACTTTTTAAAATGTATATGAATACTCTACTGCATGTACACCTGCATGCCAGAAGAAGGGCTCAGACCCTGTTACAGATGGTTGTGAGCCATTGTGTTACCATTGGGAATTGAACTCAGGACCTCTGGAAGGGCAGCCAGTGCTCTTAACAGCTGAGGCATCTCTCCAGCACCAGTAAATACAACTTTTAAATGTTTTATTTCATATGCATCAGTGTTTTGCATGCGTGTCTGTGTGAGGGTGTTGGATTCCTTGGAAATGGAATTACAGACAGTTGCTAGCCTGCTATGTTGATGCTGAGAATTGAACCTGGGTCCCCCAGAAGAGCAGCCAGAGTTCTTAACTGTTGAACCATCGCTCTAACCCCCCTTTTAAAAATCTTGTAACGAAAACTTTTAAAGAAGAGTCTACCTCGCTAGGCGGTGGTGGCACACGCCTTTAATCCCAGCACTTGGGAGGCAGAGGCAGGTGGATTTCTGAGTTTGAGGCCAGCCTGGTCTACAGAGTGAGTTCCAGGACAGCCAGGGCTACACAGAGAAACCTTGTCTCGAAAAAACAAACCAAAAAAATAAAAATAAAAAAGAAGAGTCTCCCTCTTATGAGCTGTAAAGCATGGAGTCCTGGGTGGCGCTCACTAAGCCCTGTCTGTCGGCTGGCTCCACACTTTTAAAATCCCGTTCTCAATCAGGAAAGAGTGTTGCCCCTGTAGTTCTTTCCCCTGGGGTTTCTGTCAGAAACCTCTCAGCAGAGTGACTAATTTACCTCTCTTTGATCTGTCTGTGGGAGTAGAGTGGGCTGAGCAGCCAGTTCAGACAGCTCTTCTGGAGACGGGGATACAGTAGCTGTTAACTGAAGGCTCTCTTCTTCCTGTTTATGCTGGCAAAGGATGTTGGTGTCTTGAAACTTCAGCTTTTCATCTTGAGCTGCTGAAAATGGAATCCAGAGAACTGAACCCAGTTATTGGCAACCATAGTCAGAGTTGAGTCAAGTGTGAAAGAATGTTTGGCTTTACAGCTTCATTTTATATGGAAAAGCAGTTCCCTCTTGCTGAGACAAAGGGCCTCTAGCCTGTTGACCCATCAATGGAGGTTGTACTTCTAATGTAAGATCAGATGATAGAAGGATAGAAGAGCACCCAAGGAATTGTGGGATGGAGAGGGAAACACAATCAGGACAGTCACCCAGCACTTGGGAGGCAGAGAAAGGCGGATTTCTGAGTTCGAGGCCAGCCTGGTCTACAGAGTGAGTTCCAGGACAGCCAGGGCTACACAGAGAAACCCTGTCTCGAAAAAACAAAACAAAGCAAAAAAGAGTTCAGATGGGTTAAGCTGGGTGCAATGGTGCACAGATGCCTATGATCCATACGGAAAGGTGGTGCACATACAATGCACATACAAGTGTAATCGACACGGAATGTGGAGGCAAAAGGACTGAGTATTCAAGGTCAGATGGAACCACATTGACATCTTTTCTCAAGGAAAAAAAGGGGCGGGGCTAGAGAGGTGGCTCAGCAGTTAAGAGCACTGGCTGCTCTTCCAGTGTCCTGAGTTCAATTCCCAGCAACCAAATGGTGGCTCACAACCATCTGTGATGGGATCTGATGCGCTCTTCTGGTGTGTCTGAAGACATGACAGTGTACTCATATACTTAAATAAATAAAATAAACAATTAAATAAAATCTTAAAAAAAAAAAGACAGGGGTGGTAGATGGAGGCCCTCATAGATCACCTGTGTAGCATGTGTGAGGCCCTCCATTAAATCTCCAACACCAAATCAATGGGAAAAAGAGACAGGGACTAATGACCCTAAAAACCCAGAAGCCAACAAATGTACTTTTCCTTTTTTTGTTTTGTTTTGTTTTTTTTTTTTTTCAAGACAGGGTTTCTCTGTGTAGCCCTGGCTGTCCTGGAACTCACTCTGTAGACCAGGCTGGTCTACAGAAATCCTACTGAAATTTCTACTCAGAAATCCACCTGCCTCTGCCTCCCAAGTGCTGGGATTAAAGGTGTGTGCCACCACTGCCTGGCTACAAATGTACTTCTCAATTTTTGATATCAGGTGGAAAAAAAAACTGAGTTTTTTCCACTCATCTCAGAAATGACTGAATTTTAAAAAATACACAGAGAAATTTTTTTCTTCTTCTTCGTGTGTGTGTGTATGTGTGTGTGTGTGTGCATGCGTGTTTGCTTGCGTGCGTGTGTATTTTGAGGATCTCACTATGTAGCCCTGGCTGTCCTGGAACTCATTATGTAGACCAGGCTACTCTTGAACTCACAGAGATCCTCCTGCCTTTGCCTCCCAAGTACTGAGACTAAAGGTGTGCGCCACCATGCTGGGTGAGAAATTTATGTTTAGCACACTCAATAAAGTAAATGTTTAAAAACAATAAGAGTTGGGCTGGAGAGATGGCTCAGTGGTTAAGAGCACCGACTGCTCTTCCAGAGGTTCTGAGTTCAATTCCCAGCAACCACATGGTGTCTCACAACCATCTGTAATGGGATCCGATCCCCTCTTCTGGTGTGTCTGAAGACAGCTAAAGTGTACTCATATACATAAAATAAATAAAAAATAAAAAAAATAAAAAAAATAAAAAAAAAACAATAAGAGTTGATATCATTCCATCAGGAAGAGCTGTACAAGGAAAGGCATACATATGAGGTAGGTAGGTCACATGACTTTCTGGCTAAACCAGACCTAATTACCCATGTTTAATCCTAGTTATTAATGACCACAAAATACAGGGTCAGGGGGAAGACTGGAGAAGGAGAGGCCTAAGTTCCTGTCTCCCAAACTAGACGCAGATGGCGCTGCCCTTGAGAACACTCCTTCAGACCAGACCCACCTTTGTTGGTTGCTTGAAGCAAGACTTTTGTCTCCTCCAGCCCAGCGCTCATTTGGTCCAGCAGTGGACAGGCCTGCTGCGGGAGCTGCTCCCCTACGATCTCTCTGCTCCAGTGAGGCTGATGACTGCTCTCCAGAGGCTGATGACTGCTATCCAGCATGCTGAAAACCCCAGGCTCGGTGTCAGATGGGTCCTCAAAGGAGTAGGATTCAGCATCTTTGTTACACAGTTTCAGCATCTCTGGGACCTAGCTGATCATTCCTTTCTCCACATGTTTTTTCTGCCCAGGCTTTATTTGTAACTGTCACTCACTAACTGCTTTGGAACTTTTGGGTGGCATGGAGGAGTCAGTGTCCCATCTGCTTAAGTCTTGAGGATTCTACTATGCTAGCACCTTACTCCTATGTTTCTCAAGGAACTTCTCCCGTGGGATGGCTTCCTTAGGTGAGGGTCCATGTGTTAGGACATGCTGAGACCTCCTGAGTTAGAACTGACAAACAAGAGCTTTCTTTTCTCACCTTGTTCCCTTATAGCCCTTTGCCAATGGCTACTTTAGAGAACACATGCCTTTCTTTAAACTACCTGCTGTACTCGAGAATGAAAACAAGCTTTTCAACGCCTGCAACTCCATTCCATGATATTTAGCTGTTAGACCTGACTTGAGTGTAAAACATACAAGACCAGGTCTTAGTCACATATACAAATGGAATGACATTGACATTAAAAGCTTCCTGACCAAGAGCAGTTGTGGTAGCACATACCTTTAACTCCAGCACTTGGGAGGCAGAGGTAGGTACATCTCTGAGTTTGAGGCCAGTCTCAAACTCTATAAAGTGAGTTCCAGGACAGCCATGGCTGCAATGAGAAACCCTGACTCAAAAAATCCAAAATAAAATAATAATAATAATAATAATAATAATAATAATACAAAGAAAACAGTCCTAGCCAGGAGTGGTAGCCTATCCCTTTATGACAGCACCAAGAAGCAGAGGCAGATAGATTTCTGTGAGTTTTAGGCTAACCTGGTCTACATAGGGAGTCCCTATCTAAAAAACAAACAAAACTAACAAAAATACCTAATGAGGATGAGATGGGTGGTAAGCTGGTACAGTGTGTGGGTGCCTGCTGCCAAGCCTGACAACCTGAGTTCAAGTCCCAGGTACCATGTGATGAAAGGACAGAACTCCTGCAAGTTGTCCTTTGACCTCCACATGCACACTGCAGCATGTGCCCCTCCTAATAAATAAATGTAAAAAGACTAAAAGAGGTGAGTGAGGGAAATTCCTCCTACAGCTTCTAGAAATTAGAGCTAGTCTTATCTCTAAAGATTAATGAAAAGAGAAACAAACAAATAAACAAACACCCTGGGGGCTGGAGCGACGGCTCCATGGTTAAGAGCACTTGTTTTTATTGTAAGAGACCCAGGTTCTATTCTAAGCACTCACATGGGGTTCACTGCCCTCCATCACTCCAGCTCAAGGAATCCCATGCCCTCTTTTGACCTCTGTAGGCACCAGGCACACATATCATATAAAAACACACATGCAGACAAAACACTCATACACATAAAATGAAACAAGTAAACTTAAGACAAAGTTTGAAGAAAACACTGTTTCTGAGCCAGGTGGCGCACACCTTTCATCCCAGAATCTGGGAGGCAGAGGAAGGAGGATCTCTGAGTACTAAGCCAGCCTGGTCTACAGACCAAGTTCTGGGATGGGGGTACACAGAGGAAACTCTCTCTAAAATAAAACAAACAAATAAAACAACAACAACAAAAAAAAACCCACAAGTGTTTCTGAAATAAATGTCATATAAAAACTACTTGGTTACCTAATTAGGATTTTTTTTTTTTTAGGTCAGGTGTCAGTTACACATCGCCTTAATCCTAATCCCCACACTGGGAGGCCAAGACAGGTGAGTCTGAGATCATCCTGAACTACATAGTGAATTTCAGGAGAGCCTAGTCTACATAGAGAGATCCCATCTTAAAACAAAGTTTCTTAGGGGGCTGAGGAGTTAACTATCGTGAATGAAGCCTTGAGTTCAGTATTCAGAACTGTGTGGATCAAACATGGTGGCATACACCTGTAATTCCAACACCCTGGAGATGGAGGCAAGGAGAGAAGTTCAAGGTCATTCCTGGCTACACAATGAGTTCAAGGCCTTCCTCTGCTGGACCATTCATCCCATACAGGCCCTGCCTCCTAAATGCAGTGATCACAGGTGCAGGATCTACACCTGGCTGTAGGGATCACAGGTGCAGGAACCACACCTGGCTGTAGAGATCACAGGTGCAGGATCCACACCTAGCTGTAGAGATCACAGGTGCAGGAACCACACCTGGCTGTAGAGATCACAGGTGCAGGATCCACACCTGGCTGTAGGGATCACAGGTGCAGGATCTACACCTGGCTCCCTTTGTCATATTTCACCAGGACAGAAAGTAATTTGATTTGGTTTTTTTTTTTGTTTTTTTTTTTTTTGGTTTTTCGAGACAGGGTTTCTCTGTATGGCCCTGGCTGTCCTGGAACTCACTCTGTAGACCAGGCTGGCCTCGAATTCAGAAATCCACCTACCGCTGCCTCCCAAGTGCTGGGATTAAAGGCATGCGCCACCACCGCCCGGCAGTAATTTGAGTTTTAAAAATGTCTTCACACAGTTTTTTAGTGGTACTGGGAATTGAACCCAGGACTTCACACACCTGAGGGAAATGGTCTATCACTAACCTCCCTATCCCACCATCATCTTATTGTTATGTTAAGACAGAGTCCCACTAAATTGCCTAGGTTGTCCTCAAACTCATACTGTAGCCCAGGTACACTTTGAACCTGTGGATATACTTGGCTCAGGTCCTTAGTAGCTGGGATTACCAGGCCTGTGCCATGAGGCCCAACTAAGTCCTTTTAATTATAAAATGAACATATGAGTATATGTTTACTGTAAAAATTTTAAATGAGAGTTGGAGAGATGCCCCAGCGACTAAGAAACTAGTTCTTCTTCCAGAGGACCTAAATTCAGTTCCCAGAACCCACATGATGGTTCATAACCGTCTGAAACTTCAGTTCTAGGGGATCCAATGCCGTCTTCTGGCCTCCAGAGGCAGACACCAGGCACACATGTGGTGTGTAGACACACACATGCACACAACACACCCATACACATAAAATAAAATAAGTAAAAAAAAAAATTAAAGTGATTAAAGACCTGGACAAGCCGAGCAGTGGTGGCACACGACTTTAATTCCAGCACTTGGGAGGCAGAGGCAGGTGGATTTCTGAGTTTGAGGCCAGCCTGGTCTACAGAGTGAGTTCCAGAACAGCCAGGGCTACACAGAAAACCCCTGTCTCGAAAAACCAAAAAAAAAAAAAAAAACAAAAAAGACCTGGACATAAAGTGAAAGTGTCAGTGTGTTATCAAACACACAAGCCGGAAAAGGCTAGCACACACATGTACAATTTGCCTTTCCTTTGAACTTTATAGTTATCTCCTTTTCTGTTTTGTTCTTTGAGACAGATTTTCTCTCTATAAAGTCCTGATTGTCCTGGAACTCACTCTGTACACCAGGCTGGCCTTGTGGCCTCCATCTTTGTCAGCCTTTACCTCCAGAATTCAGAATAAAGATGTGTGCCACCATGCCCAGTCAATGTGTTTAAAACTTAGAAGGTTCCATAATTCTTTTTGTTTGTTTGTTTGTTTTTGTTTTTTTCAAGACAGGGTTTCTTTGTGTAGCCCTGGCTGTCCTGGAACTAACTCACTCTGTAGACCAGGCTGGCCTCAAACTCAGAAATCTGCCTGTCTCTGCCTCCCATGTGCTGGGATTAACCATAATTCTTTTGTAGAAAACGATACTTTGGGAACCAGACTTTGTACTCACTTTTCTAAGAGTCTGTCGTAATTGTCACTCAGCAATTTTCGTTCATTTTCCAAATCTTCAACTCTGACCTGAAACTAAGAAAGACAGAATCCTCGAGACCACACTGGTCTTGCTCTCCATCACAGATTGGAGCTTGGCATGGGCTTTTCTATACTGGTTCTATAAGGTGTCATCTGAAGGACTGGTGGGCAGTAGTGTGCACACCTTTAATTCCAGCACAGAGGCAGGTGAGCCTATGAGGTCAAGGCCAGCCTGGCCAGCACCTACATGGCCACACACTATAACTCTAGTTCTAGAGGATAGGTACACGTATGCAGGCAAAATACTCATACATAAAATAAAATAATCCCCCTGGAGAGATGGCTCAGCGGTTAAGAGCACTGACTGCTCTGCCAGAGGTCCTGAGTTCAATCCCCAGGAACCACATGGTGGCTCACAACCATATGTAATGGGATCTGATGCCCTCTTGTGGTGTGTGTCTAAAAACAGCTACAGTGTACTCATATAAATAATAATAAATAAATTTTAAAAAATAAAATAAAATAATCTTTTAAAAAAAAGTCCCTCTCACATTTATTTATTTATTTATTTATTTATTTATTTATTTATTTGGTTGACCGTTTTATCATGTAGCCCAAGTTGGTCTCAAACCAACATCCAAAAAAGATCTTGCATGTTTCACCGTGTTATTTCCGTCTTTAGATTGCTAAGGTTACTAGTGTATGTTAACATATGTTAACACCGTGGTTACAGGTGTATATGTTAGTACATGTTTTGCTTTGAGTCAGGGTTTCACCGAGAAGGACTGAAGTCAGAGAACTCTGCCTCTCACGGGCTGGAGTTAAAGGCCTGTGACACCATGCCCGGCAGCATACCTGCTCTTATGCAGTGTTGCGGATCAAACCCAGAGCCTTAGGTGTGCTTGGCAAGTACTCCATAACAGAGCTTCACCCAAGCCTGGGACACAGTTGACGGTGTCTTCTCACTACTATTATTTACCTCCTTCAGAGTTATCTGCAAGATAGACACATCTCCCAGCTGGGTCTTCAAGCTCACAGCCTTCTTGCTCTCTTCACTCAGCTCTGCCTTGAGCTCATTCACTTGGCTGAGGAAGGCATCATGGGTTGCATCCAATATTCCCTGATTCTGCAGACAAAAGGAAATTCTTCTAAGAATGATCACATGATTCAAGAGTTGTGGTCTCCAGGCAGCAGCATTCTTAGGTGAAGGCCACAAAAAATGACCATGTGGTGGTTTGGTTATGAATGGCCCCCATATGCTCATATAGTTCAATACTTGGTCATCAGGGAGTGGCACAACTTTAGAAGGATTAGGAGGTGTGGCCTTGTTGGAGTGGGTGTGGCCTTGTGAGAGGAAGTGTGTCACTAGTTTAGAAGCCCAAGCCAGGCCCAGTGACTCTCTTTGTTCTTCTTGATGCCTGGGATCTGTATGTGGAAGTCTCAGCTGCTTCTCTAGCACCATGCCTGGCTGTGTGCCTCCATTCTCCCCACCATGTAGACAATGGACTAATCCTCTGAAACTGTGAGCAAGCCTCAGCTAAATGCTTTCTTTCATAAGAGCTGCTTTGCCCATGAATCTCTTCACAGCAATAGAACACTAAGTCAGACCTTGAGGATAATGAACAACACAATACCTGGCTCCTGTAAAGTGACCTTTTTTTTTTTTCTTCTTAGCATTTCTCTGTGAGTATAGTTTTCCTTTTAAGGAGGACTTTCTTTCCATTCTGAACTTATCTCTGGAGCTATAATTTTTTTCTAAGACCCAGTTAATCCTTGGCTCTAAATTAGGTGCCATTTTCAGAAGCTGCCTTTATTTTCCAAGCTATTTGGTTGCTTTTTATAATGATATTAATTCTCCTCTTGGCCCTGGGAAGATACCATGTCAGCTCTAGAAGTTGTGTGCCATGTTCTGTGGCTGCTTCTATCTGGGCATAGCTGAGCTACTTGGAGACCCTCAGTCACAGGCACTTACCCCGTTTTGTCTGCACCCCACTCTCTACTGTGAGTGGGGTCAAAGACTGAAGAACATCAGATGAAGAACAGCCACAGGATACCTCATTGCCTTATACATGTCAAAAGAATACTCCTAGGAATTTTTGAGTAAATGTTATAGTTTGCTGTGGTAATAAACTAAAAAAATACCACTTAACTTAGGACTTGTATTTTGCTTTTGCTGAAAACAATATAATAAACATCATTTATTGTAGTAATAGCATAATTCATCTTACTAGAAACAATATGACCTAATAATCAGTTTAATTGCCTCAACTCTACTGTCATATAACCCACAGAAGTACACAGATTTCTTTGGATTTGATTGCTCTGATTACTAAGAATAGAGTCAAAGAATCTTTATTAATTACCTTCTGATGCCAGGAGAGGTGGCACACACCTTTAGTCCCAGCCCTCAGGAGCAGATGCAGAGAGATCTCTGTGAATTTGAGGCCAGCTTGGTCTACAGAGTGAGTTCCAGGATATTCAGGGCAGGTAGAGAGATTAAACAACCATAACAACTACAAAAATTACCTTCTGGAGCAAGTCTTCATATGCCTGGAAGAAATAAGTAAGCATTATTTCACCAGTTCATCAATTTCATGAGATACTTGACATCCATGTAAGATAAATATAGTCCAGTGTGGCATTTCACACTCTTAAACCCAGCACTCAGGAGGCAGAAGCAGGAGGATCTCTCTGAGTCTGAGTCAAGACTAGTCTATGTAACAAGTTCCAAGCTAGCCAGGGCTACAGTGAGACCTTTTCTTAGAGAGAGAGAGAGAGAGAGAGAGAGAGAGAGAGAGAGAGAGAGAGAGAGAGAGAG